CGGAATCGTCCTTCCAAATATCACTCTTCCGCTGCCTGATGGGCTTTGCCACAACAAAAAAAAAGAAAAAACAATCCGAGACAATTTTGAGAAACAGTCAGAACTCCTGCAACCCATCACCAGCATAGACTCGATCATGATTACCTGCAACCAAAAGCAATATTTATTTGAAGAAAAAACTTTACATATATTACCTTCAAATTTTCTTTAGACATTTATAGATATGAAGTCATTGATATTGGTATGAATATTAATCTCATCCAGAAATTCCTTCTCAACATATATAAAGTTGTCAGACCGTTTAAACCATTCTTGGGACATTATAGATCTCAAATGGTTCTTCAACAATTTTAGCTTTGAAAAGCTTCTCTCAGCTGATGTCATAGTCACGGGGACAAATAAAATCTGATAAGCAATAGAATATTAGGATAATAGTTGGTTTCTCTGAAAAATTAAAACATCTCCATAACCGATATTGGTCTATTTGGCAAAAGTTAACTGCATAACTCATAAATTATTAGATGAACCCTCTATATATAGAGTTTCTGCAAATTTGGTACAACGGTTTTTTTTAGTTTGGTGCCATCTAATGACTTTAAAATTGTAGAATTGTTGATATTTTTTATGATCACATGTAAATTCGCAAGCGCGCGGAATAACATTGTAGCAGTTCTCCTTAGAGTATTCAAGGGTATCGAACACAAGCAACATATGTGTATTATATATGACCAGGATTCAATCCAAGGATACAACAACCTAACATAAATTGGCTAGAGAGTATTCCTATGTCTTTTAATTAGTTAATAAAGTTAAAAGTAAAACTCTAATGAATGCTTCGGGCACCGGCCCTCCCCTGCTCTGCCAGGATAAGTCCGGCCTTGAGCTCTATGCATGATGTACCCAAATGTGGAGGAATACAAAGAACGGACAGGGCTATCACTACCTTCCGCCTACCTCACTTTCGGTGGAGCACACAACTAACGAAGATAATTTCTAACCTAAACACCATGCCTAACTTATTAATTATTACTCTAGCCTTGCGTAGGTACTTCCTTATTTATCCAAGAGTCCTAGTACTAGATCACTCAGTTGCACACTAAGCGACGAATCTGCACTGATGAGAATATATCTCACTTAAATAAACTAATTAAAGAACATACAGAAACTCAAATACTTATTTTAATAAATAACTATCCGCTGAGGTACAAGCGAGAGAAGAAGGCCGACAATCCTGGATTTCCCTGGAACTCCGTTGAAAGAATGCCAACACTCATGCACTCCATAAAATTCTTGGAGGAACACCAATTTTTCAGGACACTCCTTCCAGAGCTTCCCCTCACTTTCTACCAAACTAACATTACTAAATACTCCCTCAGTCCCATAAAAAACGAATCTAGTACCGGATGTGACATATTCTAGTACCATGAATCTGGACATATGTATATCCAGATTCGTAGTACTAGGATGTGTTACATTCAGTACTAGGTTAGTTTTTTGTGCGACGGAGAGAATATGAAACTACAAGTGAGTTGTACTGTACTTGAGCTCAAAGTTGTGTGTGTTTCAAGTATGTGAAGACCTCCTTTATAACTGCCAACAATAGTTAAATGACATTTTTCCCCTTACAACCGTCATTGGGACTTCATCAGGACACTCCATGTGGAAGGCCAGGATGGGGCGCCACTATGGTGGTTGGTTCAGCCAAATTGTGGCCCCCACCTCCTAGCCTCTCCTCTAGCTAGGCCCTTATGGCAGTTAGGACTGGTTGGTCTTACTTTTAAGTCGGTTTCGATTGACTTGTCGGCCCTCCTTGTACTCGCGCTTGGTTGGCCGGAGGTTCATTTTCGTCACATGTCGGGTGCATTTTTCTTCTTAAATAACATGCATATATCTATTTACTAATATTAGCAGAAGTGGTTAGTAGTTAAACTCGTACCACTAAGTTTTGATAATATATTTGATATCTTTTATGCATGAATTGATGGTTAAAGTTTTGTACTTAACGACCGTCAACAAGAACTCACTAAAAACCTATATATATATATATATATATATATATATATATATATATATATATATATATATATATATATATATATATATATATATGTATGTATGTATGTATGTATGGAGTGAGTACCATATGAACCATAAAAAAAAGTATTACTCAAACAATGCATATATCTCATCACTACCTTTTCTAATTATATATTTTTAAATTTATTAAAAAAGTAAATATATAAAATTTTTTCCCCATAAATTCTATTAATATAATTTTCACGTATTAAATCCCGGAGTAATATTTTTTAGCCTCTTACTACCTCTGTTACAAAATATAAGCGATGTTTACGGTTGGACACATGTATTATTACCAAAGTATGTGAAATTAAATTGGAGAAGGTTTTGATTGGTAGAGAAACTATTCTATTTTAGGAGAAATTTTCAACCCTAGAGGTTGTTATATTTTAAGGTGGGGTAGTTATAATTTGAAATTTTGAGATTATTTTTTAAAGAATATAGATAGTATAGATAATTACCAACTACTCCCCTGTCCTAAAATTAACTATTTTCTCCGTTTCGAACCATAAGTATTTCCGGGATTTAAAATTTATACCATAATAAAGTGAGCATAGTTCAATTAGCTTAGTTAACTGATTAGGTTTCCTGTGATAAAATTATCTAGTACTAAATTTGAGTACTTATCGTAGGTGCTGTATTTCCAATAGAAAAAATCTTGACATTTTACAACAGAAAAAAGAATAAATTCAAAGGCAGGAAAGAAGGAAACGACGACTACTCCCAAGTCTGGTTTCCTTTCTCCCCCAATAATTTGTCGCTTTATGGATGGTGGTAGCAGCCGGCCACGACCTTATCCACAAGCCAAGCCACCTACTAGTAGCAGTAGTATACTCCCTCAAACGGAACGGATAGTACCGAAGCGGAGCGTCCATGTCACGTCCACCAACCACGTCACAACAAGAGCGGGCAGCGTCCACGTGTTGTGCCCCAGCTGCTCACGGTGCGGCCGGCGGCGCAACTTCGCAAGGCGAGCCCCCCCGGGCCCACTCCTGCCTCGTGCGAATTGCCGAGTCGGTCGTCTGACGCTTTTGCCCCTAGAGGTACAAAGTTAGGCCATGTTTGGCAAATGGGATAGGGAAATGATTTCCCACCCACCAAAAGACATCTTTAAATGCTAACCATTCATTCTCCCCCTTTCATTTAATCCTAACCCTTCATTCATTTCCCAATCCCAATCCCACCTCTCATTTCCCATTATCCAAACACACCCTTAGGGCTGATTTGTTTGAAGCCAAAAGTTGCCATACCAAAATATTAGCATTTTAAACAGTAATTTTGGCAATGTTTAGTTTGCTACCAATACTTGTCAATACCACATAAATGTTGCTAAAATATTGGCATTGGCAAAAACTTACCCATGATTTGGCATTGCCAATAGTTTAGCATGGTTGCAAACCAAACAAGCCCTTGCTTCCTTCACTCCATACCCCAGTACTCCTATAACCAAAAATCAGATTTCTTTTTTTTAAAAAAAATTAACCATCATATATCTCTTGATCTTTTGTTTGTTTGATGGACAATATTATTATATCTATGCAAAATTGAGTCTGTATGCATGCATATAGACAATTTTCCTTATTTCCTCCTCCGATTTTGTAATTCTTGGTGTTTTGGATAATAGCACGTTTTGAAAATATATCTTTACTTTTTTATTATAATATAATAAAAAAATATATCTTTCACTTTTATTATAGTACTAGAAAAATGCTCGTGCGTGGCAATGGGTGAAAGTTATTTTAATCTTATTATTATTGTGCGGCTTAGCTAAGGTGAAATTCACTGCGGGAATTTGCTTGGATTTTTTATATAAAATCATGAGCTGCAATTAGGAGTCCGGTCCAGGGTTTATATTACCAGTTAACCACTAAATTTCGAGCCCCATCGGTATCACGATTTTCGATAAACTTCGACTGAATTTTGACCAAATTTACTTTTTAACCTTCGAAATTCCAATCGAAATTTAATTCCGAGCCTTGTCAAAATATCAAAATTTCGCGGAATTCGACCGGTTTTCATCGGAATCGTGAACCCTGGTCCGGTTGTCTCAGGTTAGCATGCGAGTTTTTCTAAAGAGATTTCTTATGCGGCTCCTTCTGTATTTTTAAAAGCGAACAAACTTGAAAATCGACTCAAACACGGATTTGTATTTCTAGAAGCGAATAAACTTAAAAACCAACTCAAAACACAGATGATGTACCAAAGTAACGACAAAAACATCTTCAATTTTTATAATAGTAGAGATTTTGTAGACAAATCTATATATGTTGTTTTAGTGCCTTTAAACTAAATAGTTTTGAAGTTATTGATAGTTAAAGTTATAAACGTTATTAATATCTTTTTTGAGTCATTGATATATGAAACCCAATTTATTGAAAGACAACTTGTCACAACTATCATTATAACCAAACAGCCTCAAACTTGCCTTTTTTTTTAACGTGGCAACATGTGACAAAGTATGGTCGACAATCGAACATCCCTTTATTCCCTTCGTCCAAAAATTTAGTAGCCTGGGATGAGATAAAGGCTCTATTTGGGGAGCTTAACATTCTGAGAATTTGCTAGTTGGTAGCTAGCTTATGAGAATCTATATGGGTCCTAGTTCATTTTTTTTTTGAGATTTTCCAGTTTTGAGGTTCTAGTTCATTTTTTAGATTCTACAATTACATATTAGGTGACAACCAAAACTGTTTAGAAGAGTTGGAGATTTAAAAAAAGCTGCAGCAGCTAAAAACTCCCTTAAATAGATCCTAAATACGACTACTGATATAGGAGCATTAACTATCAATAGACTACGGTGGCGGATAAGCCGCCAAAGCAGCAGGGCCGAAGGTGGGGGCAGTCTGGTAAATTCGCGGTGGAGCACCACAGTACCACACACACTAGAGTAAAATCCAGATCCAGTTGGCACGCGCTTCGAAACGAAAAACCAATCTAATCCATCAGTGCTTTACCATCTCCGAGATATTTATTGCTTCATCTCTCGCTGGTTTGTCTCGCACTCTCGCTCTCCGTACGGTACAAACAAACCAGAAACCACCACAACTGAACAAGAAGAGAGTATTTTCTCCTCTGTTCCTTCTCTTTTGCCCTTCTGGTTGGGAAACAAGTAACGACGCCGGCGGCGGAGAGACGATGGTTCATCTGCCGCACCAGGGGAAGCTGCGGCGGGATGTCAAGGAGGAGGCGCTGGACGACGGCGACGCGGCGGCACAGGCAGAGGCGTCGCCGTTCCACAAGAGGTCCCGCCTTGCTCTACAGGTGGGTTCGCTCTCCTTCCTGTTGCTTCGGTGTTCCTCTCGTTTCTCTAGGAGGAAATTCCGCATACAGGAGGAATTTGATTTATTCTCTCTGCTACTATTTCTAGTACTACTGTTGATGAGTAATTTATTATTGGAGCGGAGTATTATTTTGTGACTCAGCGGCCGGAGGGGCAGCTTGTTTTGAAGAAATTCGTACGAGCAAGTGACGATCAATTAACATTTTCTCGCCGTGCTGTTAATTTATTATTGGCTCAGTTCGTTCCGAAAACAAAAATGATTATTAGTTCAAAGTTTGATTCGCATGATACATCCTTTTCTTTTTTTTTCCGTGGGCAATTTGTCTTGTTCATCATTTTTGCTCATTATATTAGATGATAATTCTGAACTTGGTGAGTCCAAGTGAAAGGGTATTTGTGACTTTATCCAATCAAACTCCTTCGAATAAGATTCGATTTCTGTACCTAGCCAAGATATTTACCTGTATTACCAATTTATCCATCCATAGTTGGCTTAGATATTGACGTGCGGAGTCTTCCAATTTGGGTATTATGTCTCTCACTATACAGGTCTCCATCGGCGGTCACTTCATACTACAGAGTCCTTTTTGGATTTGGATTGGTAGTGATTAAACTTTACTTTAGCTTTTCTCCTCGTGAATTCAAATTTACCTTAGATTTTTTCCTGTCAATTAAAACTTATTACTAACATTAAAATGTTGATCTGTCTAATCTTCTGGGGAGCAGCCCACTTGCTGGACCTTTTCTCATTTTTTGTGTGTGTTTGTGCGAAACCAGTAGCTGTACTATTTGATTTCACCTCAGAAAAATTAATGCTGCTTTGGTTTTAAAAAGCTGATCTATCATTTTCATTGGTTGCTTTTCTTTGCTTGTAATCTTTTTTTTTTTTTGCGTACTTCACCTAATATTCTTTTAGCAATGGGAGAAATTACTGTTCCTATATCTATTTGCTCTTTATTATAGTTTCTATATCTGTTTGTTCCTTTTCACTTGTTGTCATGCAAACATTCTGAACAACATCGCAAGATAGGGGCTATTTGCATATAAATAGGTTGCATGTTTCCGCCCAATTGAGAAGTTGCACCTGATACTTTCCCTGCATGTAAATGGCATAAATACACAAGAAGATCTGAAGATGTGCTGCTTCAAATCAAATCACAAATCTTTCTTGGTGCATTACTGGAACTGGTTTCCGTTCTTCCTATGATATTGTTACTTCTAATCACATGCATTCATCATTTGGATTTAATAATTGGCATGCTGAGCTTTTCACTTATAGAGCTCTGTTCTCCGTTACTGTTACTGATTCCTCTGTCCATCTAACAAATGAACCAATCCTTTTTTTGTGTTTAGTTAATTGATCTTACAGGAATATTGTAATTTTCCCTATCTGAGAAACACACTTTTTCCATTTTTTGCCACTTAGTACATAAAACTTGATTGGAAAAGTAAATGTTATATATTAGTTCATAACGTTGTACTATGAAATTGTAAATTAGTTCTTATAGTACAAATAGTTCAAATTTAAAAGTGAGAAATGAGATATACTATTGGTTACCTTGCTTTAATGTTCCGCGTTTAATCATATATTGTGTTTTCTCATGGTGTCATGCAGCACTGGAGCACAGACGGTGGTAGTGTGTCCAATCAACAGTCATCCCAACATGGTTTCCTTGATGAGCCTAGCCCATTGGGCTTGCGGCTGAAGAAGAGCCCCTCTCTGGTGGATTTGATCCAAATGAAGCTTGTGCAGGCTGGTAAGGCCAAAGATGTCCAGCATAGTGGAACCGCTAGTGCCTCAGAGAAATTGAAGGCTTCCAATTTCCCTGGTTCTGTTCTAAGAATTGGATCTTGGGAGGTTAGTGGCTTTTTTATATGCGTCCATTTATGTTGGCATGTTACATAGTCTTCTCTAATTTTGATACAACATGTATGATTTCATTTACTTACAAAAAAAAAATAGACTGCAAATTGGCACTCACATTTGCAATACTTCTTGATGTATGATTGCTATGAAGAATTTGAAAGCAATAGTTGTGAATGTGTTGAATCTTTTAGAATAGAGTGGTTTTACGGTCCACATTTTCTGGTCTAAAATTTGGTACCTCAAGGACAATAAAATTTCTATTTAAAATAAAAAAAGCCATAATTATTGATATGCATTGTGTGAGGATCCAATAGGCAGTTTGTCATTGCCATATTGTGATCTGTTCAATCTAGGTAGTGGAAATCTCTAGCGATTCCAATATGATGTTGATTTATTGGCTCTTTCAAAAAGCTACTACAAAGTCTGAGCTGACAGAAGGAGATGTTTTGTTTGGATAATTCCAGAGGTATCATGTCCAATAGACCTGCTAGAATTGGAGAAAAACAATAAAATGGCAAGAGGCTTCTAATAGCATTATAGCAAAGTGTGATAACTTTTTCAGGTGTATTTCAAAGAAATATTACTTTGTAAAGTCTCTTTTTTTGGGAGGCCCTGTACGACGCATAATAACAGGGAAAGAGCTAATACAGAGGATAGGGCCTCCCAGAGAAACAGTACCCGTACGGCGCACTGTAGCATACAGTATTATTCACGGTGCACTGTTCACATGACATTTGGTTTCCTTTAGGGAATAGGTTAATTTGCTATTTTGGTGGTTTGGATTCTTATGTCTTAGGTTTATTTTGTGGTTTGAGTAGGAGCTTATTTATTAAGTGCCAAGTCATCCCATCTATCTAAGGATGAGTTTGTATCCAATTTTATTAAGCACAGATGAGTGTGCTTTGCTCTCTCCCATGAGAATATTCTAGATTGATTCTCCCCCATTCAGTGCTCTCCTTCACCTAGTGGCTACCGCAGTTCAGCTTCAAGTCGTCGCCCTCACCCAATGATGATCGAAAGTTCATCACAAAAACATCTTTAGCTTGGGAACCACACTCCTTTCTTATACTCATGAATGTGTCAAGAAAGAGAACTATCATTTTGGAAATTATGTCAGCTTGTTGTTGTTCTGCTTAGTTGCAAGGTGCATACTGCATACACCTATTTTTCATATCACACCCGACTCTTTGTATTGTTGACATTTGGGATGATCACTGACTCAATCTCTGTTTCAACGATTATGTTAGGCTATGTTTCTTGTGTGCTGGTGTTTAGTTGTAGGTTTTGTTATATAGTAAGTATTCTATATTGTTTTGTTCATCTATGATGCAAATTGATTTGTTTGTGCTTCAAATGCTGTGTATGAACAGTGGGTGTCAAGGTATGAAGGCGATCTGGTTGCAAAATGCTATTTTGCTAAGCATAAACTTGTGTGGGAAGTACTGGATGGTGGTCTGAAGAGCAAGATTGAGATACAGTGGTCTGACATCTGTGCCATGAAGGTGGTTTCTCCAGAAAATGAACCTGGGATCTTGGAGATCGCAGTAAGTTTTTACAGATAAACCAATTATTAGCTCAACCTACCATAAACCATGCCTGTTGGCAATAACATATATGAGAAGCTAGATTTAGCCTTTTACCTTGTGAAACTGCATTACAATGCTAATCGTTGATCTAAAATTTCTGTGTAGTTTGGCCTTTATGAGTGTTTTTTTTTTGGCATATCATTGCTTCTGCTAATTCTCTCTTTTGTGCTCTGTTCAGTTGTCCCGGCAGCCACTTTTCTTTCGAGAAACTAATCCACAGCCAAGGAAACACACTTTATGGCAGGCAACATCTGATTTCACTGGTGGACAAGCAAGCATTCACAGGTAGTAAAAATGAATGACACGTTGGTAACATGCGTGCTTAATTTTAAAATGTATACCCCTATGTTCGCAAATATGGTGCTTATTTTTCCCTTTTGTCTAACTAGGGAAATTTTGATAGCATTTTGGAATTTACCCCATAATCATGAGGAACAATTGTGAAAAAAAAATCAGACAATTATCACAACGAATTAGTCTCTCACAGTTGTTTATGCTGACTAATTTCCTAATACTGCCGAGTGGTGAGTTGACTTTTGACTATCATTTATGTAAGGAGGCATTTTCTTCAGTGCCCGCCAGGAATGATGAATAAGCATGTTGAGAAGCTTGTTCATTGTGACCCACGTCTATATTCACTAAGCCAGCAGAACGACATCAATTTGGATAATCCGTACTTTGAATCAAAGTCTTCTATATTTGAAGATGCAGAGGGCATAAAAGGCCAAGATTTTGAGCATAAAGATGATGGCGATCAGTTAGCTCCCCAAAGATTTACAGAACTGTTACCGCCTCATTCTGCATCAGGTAGGATAGATACTGAAGCCAGACAGCTCTCAGGAACACCGGACAAGTTACTTCAACATTTCCCTTGTTCAGGTGAACTTCAAAATCCATACTTGTATCTTATATTCCATTGAAATATGAAAACATCCAGATGTGTCAATGAAATATGAAAATCATGCCTTTCAAATTAGGCTATATTTCTATAATGGTGTTAGCTATCAATGACTTCTTTTCTCACTCACTGGAGGTCACTGCTTAGGACCAGACAAGTCTGTTAATATTCGTCAAATTTAATTTGTTTGATCTATTTCACAAATTGCTTCGCCAGTATATTTGCTACATAATATTAAGAATATTAGACTTCCGTATTTCTAGTGGGAATAATTTTACTAATAATGTGTCTTTCGCCATTCCAGTTAGTGGTACTCAAGTGATTAAACAAGATGCTGCTTCTGGTGATTGTGAACGGCAAGAAAGCATCTATAATTGGAACGGTATCAAGGTACCGGGGATAAGGCGCTCCATGTCCAAAAGTGAGATTGCAAATCACATTGGGAATCATATCTACAGACAGATGTATTCAGGGAACCTACCTGCAGTTCATCGTGGGGATTCCACGTCAAGTAAAGTAACATTAGATGGAATAACCCGATTCCTCTTGGGCAGCACCCAGATCATCGGCGATGGCGATGGCGATGGCTCAATGGGTAAACTGACATTTGATGAGCTTACCAGACAACTCCTCAATGATTCCCAGATAACCAACGCAGCTGATGAAAGGATGCTCATGTCAAGGGTCAACTCCCTCTGCAGCCTGATTCAGAGAGATTCAGGTTCAGGCCAGACAAACCCCAGCAGCAGCATTCATGGTGACAATGAGATGCAAGAAAGGAAGCCCCAACCTTATGCGCTTCCGGTGTCAGCAGACAGTGGAAGCAACACCTCATTGCCGCCGAGGCAAGAATCGTTTGGGGATCTCCTGACGCACCTGCCTCGCATCTCATCATTTCCTCACTTCTTGTGAGTGATCTGACGGAGCAACTCTGGAGTTGGAGTGTTATTCTATTGGGGTACATATTGGCTTGAGAACTCTTGCTTGTAGAAATTTTTGCCGGGAAATGTCTTGACCCCTTTTCTTCTTACTTTTTTTTGTACATAAATAGATAGGATAACTGTAGATTGTATAGTAAGCTTCTTTAGTTCGATAGGGCAAATGCATCCGGTACATATTCTCGTCGATATAGTCCTTTCTAATTTATACATTTCTTACTCTTAGAAAAAGTATACGTTTATTTCAGAAACAGGGAAATGGATAAACTTTTTGCCGAAAAATAAAAGTAATACTTCCTCCGTTCATAAATATTGACTTTTAGATACTTTGGAACTTTGAGCATTAATAACTTCTCTCAAATGATTAGTTAAAAAAGAAAGGTACGTGCATATTTAATTTAACAAGTACTTCCTCTGGTTGGTTTCATTTTAATTGACGTTTTGGACAATGACATGGTCTACAAAATATAAATATATCTTTGATCTTATTTTTTTATTATAATATATATAATAAATAAATGTATGTTTACTTTTATTATAGTGCTTTGAAAGACAAATTTATATATGTTGTTCTAGTTCCTTTGAACTAAATATTTTTGAAGTTATTAGTGGTCGAAGTTATAAAAGTTTTACCTCAACCAACAACAATTAATATGGAACCGGAGGGAGTAATATCATAATATTACAAACTTATTAAGTTTTATAAAATTATTCTTTTATAGAATTGATTGTCAAAGTTTTAAAAGTTGATCAAATCTTATACTATCCACGAGTGTAGAACTGATTTTTTATCGTGATACCAAAAATACTAATATCTCGGTTAGAATTAGAACCGGTACGATATTTTTACTACCAGTTTTAAAAGTCCAAGTCCCCAAAACATCTTTAGTTCCAGTTAGTAACACCAATAGATCCTCTGCCAACCAAGACTAAAGACGGAAGAACTTGTTTGTGTTACCAACTCATTCTTGGACCTAGCAGCAGATGGGCGGGCCATGCCTAAATGAAGAGCGGAACAGACTCTTCTTTGTTTCAACTACTTCCGCGCACGGAGACCGGAAGATCCCAGTTATCCTAGACTAGACAAGTACGAAGAGATCTTCGTAGAACCGAGGAGGCAGTACTATTTTTAGTACCAACAGGTACTAAATATGCCTATATGGTTAGTTTAAAAAGAAAGCATCTCTATTTAGATGTGTGTGATAGGTAGGGTAGTAAGCATGAGAGATAAGGTGAGAGATCTCGAGTTCCACTACTAGAAAAGGCATTTTTGCAGGTGGCCAAAACTAATTTTCCCAGGCGGGAGAGAGGTCCGCTTGCACCACAACGAACGGCCCGCCTGCGAGAATGGAGGAAACGAACAAAAAAAAATCGCCGGCCCGCGCCGGGAGCCGCCGCCGCCGCCCGGCCCGCGCTGTCGCTGCTCCACGCCGTAATTGCCGCCGCCGACCTCCCCCCTCCCTCCTCCGGCCAGATCTGGGAGGAAGGGGGGAGGGGAGCCACGCCGCCTCGCCCTCTGCCGCCACCGCCCGCAGTCGTCGCTGCACTCCCCCCGCCCCCCTCCAGATCTGGGAGGGACGGGCCGGGCCGCACCGCCCTTCTCCATTGCGCTCCTTGGCCGCGCCGCCCTTCTCCATTGCCGCCTCGCCTCCTCGTCGCCGCCACCGCCCGCCGCCGCCGCCGGGAAGAGTAGAAGTGAGGGGAGGGGAGAGGAGGAGAGGTGAGGGGAGGGGATGAGAGGCCGGTGAGGAAAGGTGAGGGGAGGGGAAAGGGGAGAGGTGTGAGGACTTAGAAAAAAATTAGGGCACGCAAGTCTATTTATATTCAAGTCTATTTTCGCAGGCGGACCAATTAAGTGGCGCCTGATTTTCACAGGAGCCGCTTATGTGGTCTACCTACGAAAATAGATTTTCGTAGGCAGACATCAAATTTCACCCCGACTTATATTTTTGTAGGCGGTCATTTGGCTCTAAGGGTCATGTCCGCCTGCAAAAATAGGACCCCCACGTCGGCAAAAATGCTTTTTCTAGTAGTGTTCAAATCCCACATCCTACACAATTGTTTTGAGTACCGGTACTAAAGTCGAGATCTTTAGTCTTGATTTGCTACAACCAGTACCAAAAAGGTTCCCAATCGGTGTTAAAATCAGTTTTGCACTAGTGATCCGTTTCAAATTGTTTGTTATTTTAAATTTGTCTAAAGTCAAATATGTCTAAAGAAGTTCATGGTTAAAGATTTATAATGTTTAGAACAAACTAAAACGACAAATGATTTTAAACGAAGTGAGTATTTAAACGTTAAATATTTCTAACCAGTTAACATCATTAGAAACATTGTCACCAAAATGTATCTATATAGTAAGTAACTTTGAAAAGGAAAACTAGATTATTAGTTTGATCAGTTAAGTAAGCTACAGCTACCACTTGTGATCCATTCTTTGTCGAACCTTGGGTAATAATTTGACTAGCTTGTGTCGCTTATGTTGACTTAGCTAAAATTACATATACTTAGCCATGTTTAATTACCACTAGCTCACATAATGGGATAATCACACTATTTTACATTTAGTATCTTGATGTGCTGCGCGCTCGATACATTTGGCCATATTTTATTGGTCGTAATTATCCAACTAAAATATGGCTCAAAGGTGGGCTGTGGGTGCATGGTATTGTTGGCTGCACTCATGGTAATTAAGGACCGATTCACGGGAAACCCTGGAAGACTAACAGTGCTTAACTGCTGGACTTGTAGTATGGCTCTTCCCTTTCCGATGTTCCCAGGTGAGGGTGGGCGTGATGGAGTTGAAAGTCGGCCCCCGGTTTTAAGACACAGGAAACCACATGTGTTCACAATACTAAATCCCTGCATCAGTAGGTTGGTATACACACATTACACATTTGGTATGACATAGTCTGCATCGCATAGTCTTACGGTACGCATTATTACAATGAAAGCCCGAGTGGGTCCCCAAATAGACCATGTGTGGTCAGATACAATACCAAGAACCAAATGATAAGATAAGGTAGCGGTAGCGAAGGTACGGCGGGACTACTAAACTCCATAGGCACAACTGGGGATCAGTCCCTAGGGCATCTCCTCGGGTTCTCCTTCCTCGGGAGTAGTCTCGAGCGGCACTTCCACATCATCTAAGTCTAAGAGAGGGTGATGGAGCAAGGGTGAATACCAACCGTACTCAGCAAGTCACCACTAGAATAAATGTAATGAATACGAGGATACAAGAAGGGTTTGGGTCATTTGAATAAAGATAGATTTCACAAATTGTTTTGTAAACCTAGCAGTTTTAACTGAAAACGTCGTTAAGTTGAACAGTGAGGGTTCATCGACCTAGCCCGAGCCTCGCTTGGTCAGGTTTACCCTCACATCCAGATTCATATTGTTTACCATATTTGACCTTCCCGCCCATTGGGCAAGGTCACACAATCTTGTCCAGCCCTGTTCTAAACAATATTAAAGATGTATGAGTCTAATCAAGAGTAGTACAAGTCTCAGTGCTCATTAACCGTGAGCACGGCTATTCGAATAGATTAGTTTACTCACACTGCAGTGGATGTACGCTTTTAATCCCGCACTCCATGATGCACCCAACACATGAGACTTGTCACTTCCCAACTTTTCAGTCACTCTCGCGTTGCGGCACCCGCTCCAAGGACTATGAGCCTCCATTGCACCCCGACACACAATCCCTACCTCGAACCGAAAGTGAGGGGAGTCCTGGCACTCCCGGGATTAAGGGTTACATAATACTTATACTTATAGGGTGCATTTTAGGTTTTAGACGTCATTATCCAATCACAACACTGCATCAACACAATCATCATCGTCTAGAACCTACCATGTCTGGGGTGCCGCCCCCACGAGAATTTCCTAGTCCATCGGGTCTACCCATTCGAGAAATGCGATCATACTTGGTTCATTCCCTGTATAGCTTCCTGACTCAGTCCTTGGTTGACTAGGGTCGGCAAGTAGTTGTTTCATAGAACCACCCATATTCTATCCATGCTGTCCCAATCGAAAACATTTGTTTTATTAGGTTTTTGCTTTTCACAAGATTTTCGTGATACGGGTGGCACTCATGTCTCCACCCGACTCCCGACATTCACTCCCATCTAGTGATCACAATCACATCCATATAGCATGAGTATGGAGGGTGCAAATGTCTATATAGGCAAAGCTAAGCAGTGTCGATAATTGACCACGCATAAGTAATAGACTCAGGAAACAAGGATATATAAGGGGAACAATATCAAGGATGGCTCATGTTGACGGTCGTTATAGACCAATTTCGACGTCAATATACTTAAAATAAAGGAGAACTAGTTATGATTGCAATGCATATTTATTTTAGAATAATATATTTCTACTTGTACATGGAGTATTATTTGTTTGCAGAGATTAGCACATAAATAAAGAAAAAAATGAAGAAAAACTTCACTCCTAAGCAAGCTTAAGGATAGAGGGGCCCACATGTCAGGTGTAACCGTCCTGGAAACCATCATAACTGCCACAACCGCCATGAGGACTCACCTGTCAGCCCCCTGACCAAATTTGGAGGCCTGCTGGGCCGGCCCAGGTTCGGCAGAACCAGGGGGTTTGGCCGAACCCTGGCAGCGCCGGCTCAGCTTGGCCCTCCACGTAGACGCTCCAAATGCACTCCCTGAACGTGAAGAGATGTAGCCTAGAGGGGGGGGGGGTGAATAGGCTTTCCTGAAATTTTCTCAACAAACGCAGCGGTTAAATTGACAGGGCCCCGAACCTCCTGGTGATGAACACTGGAACTTCTTGGCAGTGATGAGCAGCCCGGAACTTCCGGAGTTCTTGAGCCAGGAACTTCCGGGCAACAGAGATAACGAAAATATGAGAAGAAAAACAGGTCCTAGCTAGGGAAAAACAGGCACAAGATTGCACAAGATGAAAAACACAAGATACCAGCCAATTCAAACATAGATCATACACAAGAGAGACAAAGGCGATTTTTTTCCGAAGTTCGGATCACACGGATCCTACTCTCCGTTGAGGTGCTCAAAGAGCCGGGTCTCAATTAACCCCTTGCCTCACTTATGCAAAGATCCCAGAAGAAGTCCACAGCCTTCAACTCAACACTTCTAGGTCGTTTTCTAGAATTGAGTGACCACCAAGATCCAACTCACAATTCCTTCTAGAAAAGACCACAAGTGCAAGTTGCTCTACCTAGGACAACCTCTGAAAACTCAGCACAAGAATCTTTACTTATTTACCTCGTTTCCTTGCGGAGGTGAGGAAAACCTTCACAAACTTTCCCGGGACATCCACAAGATCTTTGGAAGCTCACGGGCGACACCTAACCGTCTAGGAGAAGATCTCCAAGAGTAATAAGACCAAGTGACAGCCCACGAGGTATCCAAAGTGCTCAAACAAACCTAATCTTCAATCCATCTCCAAAACACTCCTACACTCTCATATAATCTCTCAATCTCACAAGATAGGCTCTAGATTTGAGTGGAGGAAGCAAAGGACGCTTGGGAGTGGCTAGAAAACCCTAGAACATGAAAGAGCTGAAGTGGAATGGCCAAAGGGTGACCTGGGGATGAAATCCATATATATAACGGCTAGGTGACGTCATCTAGCCGTTACTCACAAGTTTGAACTGGAAGCCTGCCAGGAGGTTCCGGGCAAAAGTGCCAGGAGCTTCCGGGCAGCACTTAGGAAATTTTTTGCAAAGAAACGGTGCCCGAAAGTTCTGGCCAGAACCTCCGGGTAGCCCTCTCTGTCCCGGGGAGAAAATCATTTTTCAAAAATGATTCCAAAAATATTTTGACTCATGGATATGACTAAGAGCACTTTGTATACCCTAGAATCACACTTGAATCCCCTCTTAATAGTACGGTTTTTCCTAAACTCAATTTCGAAAGTGAAAAACCTAGTCTAATCACCTTCGGTATTTTTCGCACTTAGGAACATTCAAATTGGGGGGTCTCCTTGCATTCTTAGCCATCACAACTTGCTTTGGGACTAAACTCCTGTGAATAAACTTGATAAACACGTTAGTCCCCTTTAACCACCTTGTCATTAATCACCGAAACCCACTAGGAGGTTTAAGTGCACCTTCACTCCCAATGATGGTTGCGGGGCATTTCTGACAATTCCAACTGCCATAACCATCATTGAGAGGCTATGTAAGGGGTCACTTCAACACACACTCAAGCAAGAAGCTTTGATCTCTCTCTCAAGTTTTGTTAGTGCTCTAGTGCTAAGTGGAGTAGAATAAGATAGTTATCGGAGTCATCGGATCTTCGGAAGATTTCGGTATGGCTCTAGTAGCTTTTCTATCTTCTTTTGTAAGACTTTTGGAATTAAGAGAATATTTTTCTTTATATACCTTTGGTACTTTGCTTTGTCCGAACACTGGATTTACTTTATATTTGTGCTGATATAGTTGTATGACTAGCCTACCAGATAGGTGCAGTGGTGTGGGTTTAATGTTCATGCAAATGATTGCTCTATGTTATTCTAGAGGATATAGAGTAATATTTGATAATGTAAGAATGGTGCTTAGATTATTAAATATCATTAATTGGGTATATATGCTACGGGACAATAGAGGTGGGCCGCTGATGGCGGCAACTCAGTACGTGCATTCCTCCATGTTAGTATATATTCCTAAGACAATTTTCTGGGGAGAGTACTCCTCCATATTTAGCTCTGGTTGGACGGCCATGACAGGTTGTCGTAAGAAACTCGACAATCCGGGGTGGTCTCTCAAAGCACCAGGAGGGCACTGTTAGGGGGTAATGGTCGTTACAGCTGTATACTAGCAAATCTAAACTAAAGTTGAGTGTATATTAAAAGTATAGGAATGATTGCTTTTCTATTTTTTCTTCCACATTAGTCTTGAATTATTTAAGTGAGAGAATCTAAGTCATATGTAACATATATAAGCTATTGGTAGAGTTCTCTCTTTTATAAATCTTCCCTTAGGATTAAATAAATACGATACCTTCAAATACTTCCGAGTGAAATGTTACAATGATATATCCGTGCACTTGCGGATTACTTCTGTAACCATAAATATATCAGGGCTATTTCTGCATCATTGCTGAAAATTCATATTTCTAGTAATGTCGTTAAGAAATACCAACAGCTCGCAAACAAATTTAGGTACACATTTTATAATTAGCACGCGTGACCACTACAAGATTATGAGTAAATATGCAAACGTATTTTTGAACCGTTCTGATCATCATTAGTATTATGATAAAGTCACCTATTTCAAATGAATTTTTTTTGTTAATCACACAATTTTATTTACATCGCCTCTTGCATGAAAGTGACAAAAACTCACCGCTCGTTCCTCTCGTAGTACAATCATTACGCTAACGCATCAAGTACAACATTCATATTATACACGTACACATGATATAACTGTCAAAAAAAATACATTTGTGATTATTATTGTCATACTAAATGTCAAAAAAAATACATTTGTGATTATTATTGTCATACTAAATTGCTTAAAAAGCGTTTAGTTAAATTTTATCCACCTCAATGTTACCCGGTGCAACGCAGGTGCCTTTTACTAGTAAAAAATTAAAGATGATTATGTACTCACTTATGAGTCCGTTATATACCAAAAAGCATTGCACGATGATTTTTTGGTTCGTCCGTCCGTCAGTCCGATCCCACGGGTGTCAGCCTCCTACGGATGTGGCTTCGTGTGTCGCGAACCGACCCACGCGCGGATGTGGCTATGGTTCTTATACGTGCGCGGGGGCTGTGAGACCTTCACGAGGTATGAGGCAGATGTGTGGGTTTTATGGTAGGTCTGAGTTACAACGGAACCACAAAACTTTTTATAGGCCTGTGCATTGCCGTCCAACGTTCTCTGCAATGTACACGGCCACTCGATAGTTCTATATAACTAGTCAGTGGCCCCGCGCGTTGCTGCGGGTATAATGCTTGTAACCATATTAGTTATTTGAACTATACAAAAATAAATTTGAAATTTCAAAGAGACATTGTAACGGAGTAAGATATATCTATGCACATATTAGAATAATATAGCATATGCTGATTGGTAAAAGAAAACTTAAATGTTTTGTGGACTTGGAAAGCTCCACACATAGTTGTGAAGCACAAGACACAGTTGATGTACATAGATTCTACGTTGTATATACATGTTGTGATGTCACCTTGTCAACATATGTCCATTCTGTCAATTCGTTGATAAGTGGTAATCAGCATAGATCCATATTGCAAAGCTATTTGAATTTATAGCTAACACCAAAATAAGGATATAAAGTAGATTGGATTGACAGGGTAGTTTAAATAAATAGATTACATGTGTATAATAAAATATGGATAGTGATCTCACCATGTAAGGTGCAGCTTAACCTAACTGTTCATAATGGGATAACCTAATATGTTGTTTGGTTCTTTTGCCTTGAAGCAATATTCCTGCATAGTGCATGTCAAGAATGAACAATTATAATTGCACTGTCACATATGCTCTAAAACTACAGTAGATATTCGAAAAAAATACAGGTAATGTGAGTAATATGGTACATGAAGATCATCGCTCATGGGGGCTAAGCGCATATGGAGCAAGCAAAGATAGCATTTTATTTTGAGATCAAGCATTCCCTCCTCAGCATTTGCATTGAAATTAAGTTTCATTTCATTTTTAACAGAACAAACTTAAGCTGACATATGAAAGACTGAAAATCGATCTCCATTTGCATCTTGAAATTAACATTCAATCTTCCTAATCAAAGCAACAAAAGGTACATTTTCCCTACAGTTCATATCTCTGTTGACTTCAGCCTTCATCTTCATTTAGTGAACTGGAAGCTAAGGTGTGAATGACAAAATGAAATATAATTGTAGTTCCTATTGATCTTTAGCTGGTGAAAAAAAGCACCGACAAAACATAAAACATTTTTGTACTCAAAGCAAGCATTGGACCTGTTACAATTGAACTTCAAACATTAGTCAATGCTGGGACAGTATTATCTATCATGTACATACAACAGATAAATTTGGAAAATAAGTGCAAAAGAAAGTATATAAAAGGGAAGTTATATGGCCCAAACCTTGTAGATTATTCCCTAATGGTGTGTTGTATGCCTGTTAAAAGCATTCTACAGAGCATGGTTGGTGCAGGCAAACATGATTCCAGCTTGATTTATGGCAGTAAAACTGCATAATGAATGGTTCAGGAAAAGAGAATAATAAGCCAGATAAAAAAAAGCAATTACTATATAATATATATGCCGTGGTTAATCAGCAGCGGACCATGTAAAGTAGACACCAAAAAAATTCTTAAAGCTAGGAAGTGCCACAACTTGACAAACATATTGAATTGGATGGTCGATTTTTTTTAGCAAGACATGTAGGGAATAGCCATAGACAGGTTGTAAATTCCCGAACTTTTCATTAGTAACCATGTTTGGTTATCTCGGGAATATTTTTCAATGTGTATATGTAATACTATACCTTAACATGTTATAATAAAGTTATCAGGTCAAAGCAGAGATTTTTCTATCTAGAAAAAGGGAAGTGTTCTCAATTTTCCATCAGTGATAAGTACAAAAGTCAAAGTGTAACATACCCGAAATTCTAGGACTCAGAAATTTCTTATCAAAATAATTAGAGGTTAACTTCTCCAATTTTGAGAGGCAAAAATTTCCGTTTTAAACTTAGGTGATGACCAACTTAAACCATTGCATGATTAAAATTTGAGAGCAAAATAAAATCTTTTCATTCCCAACGTTATACAAGAAATGTCACCAAGCATATGAGCATACATGTACATAATGTATGCCTAGGCTCGAGTTCTTTGTGCATTTGGAGTTTTGGTCTTGCATTCCATAATTGGTCCCATGAGCATAATCTAAAAGAATTATTTCACTAAACAAACCTATAGTTAATCTTGGGTAATAGCATGTGGACTTAATATTAAACTCAAATATCATCTTCTCAGTCTAAAAGAAGTTTAATGTAATCCCTATAATAATATTAGATGCAATTATGAAGTGGGAACACATATACAAACAAAGGTCATCCTAATTCTCTAAAATATTTTGTGCAAGATAAAATCATGGAAAAATTTATGTGAACAGTGATTAGCACAAACTTATCCTCTGTAATTTTGTTAACATGTTAACATTCAAGTTGATACCTCGAACTAATCAGTCAAAGCAGACAACTAAAAGAAATCAAATTAAATTTTAATCGGCTAAAACCATATTTCATCCAAAAGTACATTTAACTGCACATAAGTGAACATGGAAAATAATTTATTCAAATACTAAATTATTTATCATGAATAAATATAACTTTTCTAGAATTTTCCTCCTCTGTTAAGCCTCCTAAAAATTCAATCTAGCTTTCTAATAGCCCATCTTTGTTTAATTTCTGTGAGCAGTCTACCCATTATTTTTAAGTGCAACCAAAGAAAATGGAATCTAGGTGTAATCATCTACCTCCAGTAAAATCAACACTAGATAATCTGGTCTACACATTAATTTACGAAGCTACAAAGTTAGAGAAGAAAATAATTCCGAAAAATGATCTGAAAATCAAGTTTACCCAGAATCTTACCCAACCCTCTCACCCTAGCCTAGTTTGCCACGACCTGGACCCACCTGGCAGCCTCTCTAGCTTGCCCTTCCTCTGTCCCTCATCCTCAGCCGACCAAGAAACACAGAGAGGGAGAGATCGAGAGCCGACCGAGTCCTGGACGCGTCGACGCGTGGTGACGACGTGTCGACGCCTTCAAGTCACTGAGTCATGCCTCCATCTCCTCCAGACCGAGTCGCCCAACTCCGCACATCACTCTAGAGCTGAAGAAGCCGAGGGAGAGGTCCTCAGCCTCTCCGTCATCCTCAACCTCGCCGCCGGTCGTAGTGGCGACGACCTTCGCCAACGCCGATTGGGTCGAGGTCATCTCTATGTTTTTCGCGTTCCCTTATCTCCACACAATGCCGAACCATTTCTCTTTTGACCACCTCCCGTTTTGTGCATCACAGCCATCGGAACGCGACCACGCCGACGGCGCCCTGGAGCACGCACTGGAGCACCGCCGCTTCAATCATCGTCGTCGTCTAGCCATCCTCGACCATCTCGGAGCAAGCCGCTGCGCCAAGAATCTCACCTCGACCTACTCTTCAAAACGCCTCAAGAACCCCAGCCCAAGACATCTAGAACACGGAGAACGCATCTTTTCTTCCCCGGCGCCAATTTGAATCCGCCGCCGTCGCCATGGTCGATTCCGCCTTCTCCGGTGAGCCATTGTCTGATTCTTTGCACATGAAGCATCCCTGAGACCTCGCTAACAACGTATGACCTCATTCATGCCAGATGGATTGGTAGATCAAGCCGTCGACGTCATCCCGGAGTGAAGCGCCGTCGCCAAGCCATTTTCGTGTGCTGCCGCCATCGTCTGGACCTCATCAACTCTGGCCAACACCATGGTATATACCCATGAACCTCAAATACTCACATGCATGCACCCACTTAACCAATACATGACTGTAGATGCACATGCACCATCACCCGAAAACACCTTCCGCTCACACTAGCCATCGGCGCTACTCCGATGTCCCCAAACCAAGAAAACTAGAGGAATGGAATCGCGAGAGCTTGCTCTTCATTTTATCTTTTGACCTCAACCTCAAACGAGCCAACGTTTGCCGCTGGCGAGCTCGAGATCGAGCTCAGCCATGGCTAGCTCTGCTCTGTCTAGAGCAGAGGGATGACTCCCGTGAATTAGATTAAGTGCAGGGATCCGTTTACAATTGTAGAAACACACTGACATATGGGCCTAGGACTGCGGGTTGATTCCTAGAAACCTCAAGGGCCTTTTTGCATATTGGTCCCTCACAGCCATGTGGACCCCATCCTTTAAAATCTGGAGAATAATTAAGGCAATGCCAAACAAATATATGTTTAACAGAAAAATGCACAAACTTGTAAAATCCATAAGAAATCAAATATAGCTTATTTTGAAGTGTTTCCAGTTGCTGTAGATTCTTAAGGTTATGAACTTTATTCCAGGAATATAAAACTTGACACTCACTGTACAAACTTTGCCTCTAACATTTATCTAAGATAAGTCATACATAAAGCATATACAAATTTATAAAACACATAGAAAATTCATCTAAACTCATTTTGAAACAAACTCAAATTCTACAAATTCATCATCATGCACTCTCTGATTAGGTGAAATAAAAGTAATTACTTACTTTGCATCAAAAGCCTCTAAAACTATTATCTTTAAAATGACTAGTTTTAGATAAGCTAAATTTTAGAAATTCATATAAAATTCAACTTAGCTTCAATTTTAGTAAACTTAAGTTCTGTAGAATCATCAAAATGTGTATTCCCAGGTTATGAAATAAAATTATATACTTACTGTGTAGTAAAAGTCTCTAATCATGTAAGGATTTACCAACATAGAGAAGCCTTTAATTTGTAAGATTTGTAGAAAATTCATTTTTAGTCCAAATGAAATGAACCAAGTTTCTATAGAACCAGCAAATGGTTAGCTTCAACATAGTAAAATAAAATAAGACACCTTTTGTACAAATGATAGCTCTAATCTTTAAATAGATAACCTAGGAGTTAATTACTTAGTAATGGTTAAGCAAAATATATGTGTAGAAGTATTTATAATGCACTCTAGCTATGAATAAACCTAAATAAAACTTGTTAGAACAGTGGAGCATAGTTCCTTTCCCATCCACTAAAACTTAAAAGAACTTAGCTCATATAATAATTTCTAGGTTAATATAATGTATTGCTAGTCTAGATCAGAGCACCCCTAGTTTATAAAGTATGAACCATAGTAGTAAAAACCATAAACATGTGAACTAAAAATGTTTTAGTTAACCAAATTACTTCTTTTATTCAACTTAAACAGTAGGTAGCATGTTCTGAACCAACAACTCTAACACGTTATAACTTGTAAAATGCATAAAGAATTCATTATAAATCCAAAATTTGTGAAACCAAATGTGTTAGTCTTAGAAAACACATCTCCACACCCCTGTGAAGTCTAATCTAATAAAAATCACTTTACAAAAGTATTTTGTAACACTACCTAAGACTATATTACTATAAACCGATAAAACCTCTAAAATTCATAACTCCCAAATGGAATAAGATAAAATAAAAATTCTTTCACCTAAATTCATTATAAGACCAGTACCTAATCACTGTGCATAAATCATGAATTTTAGAGCATTTTAGATTTTCAGCTATTTCGGTGTTTAATTGCATAACGTGTCCTTTATCTAGATAATTGCATAATCGGTGAAGGAGTGGATTAGGTGCTAACATTTCTCTGATCAAGGCAAGTTTTCTCCTCCCATCCTTTGAACACATTGAATCCCATGATTTGAGGAATGAAAATATTTGTTTGCAAAGTTGCATGTGAACTTAGACTATTTCGGTATTTGAAATTGGGATAAGGTAGTTATGACCTATTTGCTGCATTCCCTACCTTGAATAATTGATCCTCTTGCTGTTTGAACCCCTAGAAATGGTTAGAGCACACTCTTTGTGCTCAAATGGGTTTATATATGCTCTATATGCAACTACTTGCTTAGCCATGCTTAGAAATATGCAAATGTTCATTCCATCTATAATTAAAATGTGATTTTTGACACATGAACCTTTGCTGGAATAAAATGAATATGATGGGTATTTGCGAACTAAAATGTGTAAAATGTGATTTTAGACTTGGGCGGCAAGTGATGTGCATATGGTGTTAGGTGCATGCCGATAGGGGGAGTGTTTGGCCAAGTCCGTAAGGACCGAACTTGTGTCACCAACTTAAAGTTATTCGTACATCCACATGTGCTAGTATGGGATGGCCTAAGCTGATTAATCTATTTAGAACTAGCCTTGCATTCTGGTAGGCTGGTGTGTATGAGTTAGTCGATAATTCTGAGGAATTAGTCGATGATTCAGAGGAACTTCCTATTTGCCCTGACGTGGTAGTTTAGGGGACTAAGTCTGTCCAATACAACGGTATTGTGCCACGTGGGTGGGTTCCCGTTGTGTCCGCCACCACGGCATTAAGTTTAAGGCGTGGGCCCGCCACTTAACGGTTCTAGACATATTTTCAAGTATGCCTAGGATGGAGGAACACGTATCGTGCTGGTGCAAGGCTAGATTCTAAGTAGTGTAAAGGCTTCGTTGTGACCTCTAGTCCGCACTCATAATGTAGAGTGTGGGGTGCTTGGCCGGCACTGAACCAACTAGAGTGTAGCCTCTGGGCTTCTATCACATCATGTGGATAAAGGTGTACAAATTTTGCAGAGTTCTTTAAACTAATTGATTAGCCGTGTTCACGGTCAAGAGCGCTTTGGTGAAGTGTCATGAGTATAGACTATGTTTTAAAATGTGAACATATGACCTTGGTTTGAAATGATAAATGTGTTGAGTTGTGTGTGTGTGGTGATATATTATGACTTGTTGTCGAAGGATGACAACAAGAGATTGATTATGATGGAATTATGATGAACTTAATATTGAAACTTAAAATTTGTTTTGTTAATTGAAGCATCAACTCCTTTACAAAAGAATTGCGAAACAAAACTTGCTTTATACTGAAATTGAACTACATATTGCCTTCCTTTGAATATATGCCTTACATGTAGTATAGTAGGATTGACTTGTACTTGCCATTAAACAATTTAATGTACTGACTCTTGTTGTTGATATAACCTTTTGTTTGCAGGTTTAGACTTAGTCTTTAAGTGATGCGGGTTTTGATTGCTTCTTCTAGGATGAGAACTTAATGGGGTAAACCCCTAGTCGGTGTGCTTGTGATTGGGTAGTCAAGCTTCCGCTGTTCTCTAATAAGTCTATTTGGCCGGTCGGCCTATGTAATTATTAAGTTGTTGTAAGTCTTAAGTTTCTTTCATCTTAGTTGTGTTTGCTATGTATAATCATGCTTAAGATGAAAGTGTGAATCTAGTGCACATCCTGGAAACTATATTCACATGAGTATGAGTTAGAAATATTTGAGAGGTTGTAGATCTTTAGCCATTTTTGTCAAGTCTTCTGAATGTGTAACATATCTGGTCGCCGCCTTCGAGTGGTTTGACGGGCACATCTCAGGCTGAAGTTGACTGGCAGGCTAAGGGCTCAGCAATGTCTCCAATATTTCTCTCGCGAGGTGTCGGATGTTTCATTATGTTTGTTTGATGACTTGAATTATTCACTTCATCTCTCAAATATAACGGAAGGTCTGAAGAGCCTACGACACAAAGTGCCCTCTGAATACTGGTAATTAAATTATTAACTATTTAATTTTGTTTGAAGGGATCGTGTACTGCAGAAACCTGAACTCAAGGTTGAAAATGGATAGATTTAGAAACATTACCAAATAGTATTACTTTTAAGACAAATACTTCTACAGAAATAGTTTACAGCACAAATATGTCATCGTCTGCTCGCACAGATGCTCTATTGCTGGGAATAAATGCTGCAGTAATCAAATGATTTTCAGGTTGGATGCTACATGCAGAATGTGTAATTAACCATGACATATTGCCATAAAAGATTGTGAATGCACTGAAATGCAATCTGAGAATACAATTTGAGCATTCAGAAAAGCAAAGTCCTAAACTCCCAATCTACTGATTAAAGAAGCACTATAGGCTAGGTAAAACACTTCCCATCTTACTGGTGCGACCAACATGATGGAAGAAACACAGCGCACTAATTTTTCCTGGCACTGGGGCACACGATATAATAAACTTGCCGTGTAAATAAGCAAACATATGTTGTAACCACATATTCATGACTGTGGAATGGACCACAAAAAATGCATATTCACTAATCACAAATCGGCAATGACATTATGATAGTAGTCTAATAGACGATCACAAATCGACAATCAAAAATAACAAATTGATAGCATAGAGCAAGTTTCAATCAAAAATCAGTATAGAGCAAATTAGGTAAAGGAGCAGACCTGTAAAGTACCTGCAGGGGAAGGCCGGAATCGAAGGGCGAAGGCCGAAGGTGGCACCAGCGCACTGCTACTGCCTGCTGTGCTACACGCCACGGCCTCCCTAGCTCCCGGTATCAGCGGCCGGTGGCTGGCTAGGCGGCAGCGGTGTGATGGATAGCAGGAGTTGGAGCAGAGATTTATGCGGGCGAGCAGAGGCAGAGTGGGAGCAGAGACGGCTGTGACCCGCGAGGCACAACACGCGAGGAGAGGCGGAGTGTTGGTATTTCTTAACAACATTACTAGAAATATAATTCTCAGCAATGGCGCAGAAATATGTTTGGAATATTATGGTTACAGAGTTCATCCGCAAGCGCACAGATATATCATTGTAGCATTTCACCTGAGAGTATTCCAAGGGTATCGTATTTATTTTATCCCGTGGGAAGATCATGTAGAGACAACTCAACTAATAATTTATATATTACTTGTGATAATCATATTCTAAGTAGGGGTTAAGATAATTCAAGGGTAGAGTGACACACAAGCAATAACTACTCATTCTCATAATAAATCATCTAAGCTAAGTGGAAAGAAAAGAGAAAGAAAATATATTCCTATACTTCTAATATACATAGTATACATACATTCTAGTTAGCTGATATACTAGCTAATACCCTCTATCCGATGCCCTCCTGGTACTTTGAGAAGCCATCCCTGACTGTCGAGTTCCTTACGACAGCCCATCATGACCATACAACCTGTAACGCCCCGATTTTCGTTCGGGATTAAAAATCATTTAATAATGCATTTCCTAGAAATTAAATAAAAAGTTAAGCAATTTATTCAAGTGAATTAATGGGAGAATTAAAATTTTTCCTTAAAAATCATTGGCCGGGAATATTTTGCAATATTCTTTGTGCCCTAAAATACTCTCTGAAATTTCCCGTGAATTTTCGGAGCTCAAGAAATAATTTTAAATAGCACAAAGTTCATTTAACCAATAAGAATAAAAAGAAAAGAAAATAATCTTCCCCTTCCTTCCTTTCGGGCTCGGCCCAAATTCCTCCCCTCCTCCTTCCTAGGCCGGGCTTCCCTTCCTCGGCCCGCTCGGCTCTCTCTCTCCCTCAAGTCTACATATCCTCCCTAGCCCGTTTTCCTCTCCCCCTCTCTCCGATAGGTGGGCCCCACCTGTCATCTCCTACCTCTAGCTCCATCCCCAACCGCCGCCATGGCCGCCAAATCCTCCCACGTCGCCGCCTCTCCTGCGCGACTCCCTCTCCCGCGCGTGCGTGGACGCGGTTGTCGCCCACGTCCGCGCCGTTTCCCCCCGCTCTCCCCGCAAAATCCGGCCACGTCGCCGCCTCCCGCATCTCTCTCTCCTCCCACGTCTCCGGCCGGTTTCTACCTCTCTCGAGCTCGATCCCGCCTCCCCTCCCCTATAAAAACATTCCCCGCACCTCCCTCTCCATTTTCCCCTCTCTCCCGAGCCCTCCCGTGCACGAAAACAACCCCGCCACCATCGCACCTCCCACCGCCGCTCGCCGACGACCCTCCAGCCGGTCGCCACAGCCGCTCCCACCACCGTCGTTCCGCACGACCGCCACCAGCGGCTTCGCCGCGTCGTGCCGCACCCCGGCGTCCGCTCCATTTCCCCTCCCCGCCTCCGAAGCACCGCCTCCATCCACCGCCGCCGCCGACTCCAGCCGCCGCTTGGCGCCGCTTCTAGCCACCCCAAGTCGCGCTATCGCCGCTGCTCGCTTCGCAGCGCCGAGGAGCACCTCGGCCGCCGCTTTTCACGGCCGGGATCCCGCCGGAACACGGTTCCCCTCGCGCCGGTGAGCATCCGCCGCCCGTTCTCCCCTCCGACCAGCGATTCATGCCGCTGGGAGCCCTCTCTCCCCCTCCTAACCTCTCCCCCATCCTCCCAGGTCCTTCCGGCCGCCGTCCGCCGGTTCCCGCTTGCGGAACGCCGCCGGGCCGCCGTTCCGCCTTCATCCCGAGGAGCACCGACGCCAAGCTCCACCCCCCCCCCCCCCCGCCTTTCCCCGCCCCTCGTCGCCGCGTCCTTGGTGAGCTCCTCCTCTCCCTCCTTGCCTCCCTCCTCTGTCTCCCGTGCGCGCTGCCGCGCCAGTGGCCGCCGCCGGCGCCCACCGGGCCGTGCGCCGCTGCCGTTAGGTCGGCCGGCCGGCTTGCCACCGCCCCGCTCGCCTGGGCCGCCCGGATCCCCTTGCCACGCCTCACCGCCGCTTTCTCGCGTGCACCGGCCGTCGCCGCAGGAGGCCGCGCCGCCGCGAGCCGTCGCTCGGCCGGGCCAGCCTGAGCCGTGCCCGTGTCAGCCGCGCCACCCCGTGGTCCCGGTCCACGGTGGACCGATTCCCTTGACCCGCTGTCGTGTGGGGCCCGCCTGTCGACGCCGGCCTCTTTGATGATGTCAGCGCTTAAGCTTTTTCCTTTGAGAAAATAAATAATAATTGCACAATAAATCGAGTTTAATTCTAGAAATTCATTTAAATGGCTCAAAACTTCTAAAATTCATACCTAATTCATTCGAACTCCGAATTGAGCCATTCAACTTGCAAAATTCATCTAAAATTGAGCTCTACATGTTTGTTTAGTTTTTATGTACTGTTTTCTTGGTTTTTATTATAGTTTTTCCTCGTTTTGCATGCCAGCGTGTAGAATCCGTCGTTTCGGAAGTCCGCGGTCGCGAGGAAAAGAGTTCGGAAAATCAAAGTGAAGAAGCAAGGCAAGTCACACATTCCCCTTGAGTATGTTGATCCCAATTTACAAATGTTTTACTGTTTGCAAATAAATATACATGTTTTGCTAATTACATGGGGTCAGGGTTTTACCTATCTGCTCGCTTGTGCCATGTTTACTTGATATATGTCCTTTGTCAACCATGGGTAATAAATCGCCTAGCTTATGTTACTTTGATGACCTAGCTAGAACTATATGCTTAGCCATGCTTAATTACCACTAGCTCAGTCGATGGGATAATTGCAGTATTAGACATTCTAGTATCTTGTTGAGCTGCGTGCTCGAGACATCTGGCCATGCTTCATGGTCGTAATTATCCAACTAAAATGCGACTGAATGGTGGGCTGTGGGTGCATGGTTTTGCTAGTCGCACCCATGGCAATTAAGGACCGGTTCGCGGGATGCCCTGGAAGAACTTATCGTACTTACCACAAGCCAGCGTGGGCAACGGCTGGGCTTGTAGTGTAGCTTTCCTCTAGCTGACGCATCCAGGCAAGGGTGCGCGTGATGGAGTGGGGCGGGCCCTGCGACGGCCTCTGTCGCTTCCGGATTCACCTAGGCACGAGAGGGGACTGCCCGTCGCCCGCTGGGGACGGGGGTGAAACCTGAGGTGTGGTGTGCTTGGCTAGAGGTGGTTATGCGAAGGGTCCTGTCACGGCCTCTTTCCGGTATGTCGTGGTGGCATGTCGGCGCACGGTAACGTGTCATGGGGCTGTGTCTTGTGGGTACAGTTGTACACCTCTGATCAGAGTAAAACTATTCGAATAGCCGTGCCCGCGGTTATGGGCGGTCGACCAGATTCACCGTGATTAGTCTCACACTTAATAAATCGACCCAATACACTGTAGTTTAGGTGGGTTGGTTGGGCCTGCTCAACGTGGTGTAGCGTTGATCAGTGGAGATTTAATGTTACTCTAATTACTCAACAGTTTTACTGTTTTGCTCAATAAAATGTTTTACAACCGCCTTTATGCAAATAGCCACAAACCATCCTTGTATCCCCTTGCATGTCTGCATCGTTGGTGTGGCTTGCTGAGTACGGTGGTTGTACTCAGCCTTGCTATTATTCCCCCTTTTCAGAAGTGTAGTGCTTCTGAGCTGAAGATGAAGTTAGAGGACCAAGGCTCAGACCACAGTTGAGTTTTGCCTGTGGAGTGGAGCTGAAGCCCCGCTAGGATCGCCTTTTTCCGCTGCTACTGCTTTCGTTTCGGTGCGAGGACTAAGTGCCTCTTTTGTAAGTATTTTACGCTTTATTTACGTTTGGAACTGTATATTACTTGTCGTTTTGTGTACCCTGGCTGGTCCTGGACAGGGATTTAATACACAAAATAGTCTGGAAATTTGGGCTAAATTTCTGGGCGTGACAAAGTGGTATCAGAGCCAACTTGACTGTAGGTTGAGCCAAACGGTCAAAACCTAAGGACAAACTTTCTGAAAACCCTATTTGCATAATGTCTCCTCTCGCCCTTCGGCATTTCCTTGTGAAACGGTTTTTAAAATTCTCCTCCCTGTCCCTCCAATTCTTTTAGCTGTTGTCACACCCTGAAAATTCAAAATATATAAATTGTTGTTTAATTGGAATTTTTAGAAATAATTTTAAAAGTCTTGAAGAGAAGATCTAATTTTAATTAATAAATTCCAATATAAAATGGGGCCAGATAAAATTTCATTAAATACTTTGCTTAATTATATAATTCCTAGATTTTTCTGGGATTTATTTGAGCTAAGGAAGTATTTTTAATAAATGGAATTGCATTTCATGAATAATTTAAATTGAAAAAGGTTTTAAAAAGTCTTCTTTTGGCTTTGGGCCGAAAGTCGGCCCAAAACCGCTCTCTCTCTCCTCGGCCCATGTCGGCCCAGTCCGCCGCCGCGCGCGCGCGCGTCCGCCCGCTGACAGGTGGGGCCCACCTGTCAGGGTCGTCGTCAACCTCCGGCCGCCGCCGCCCGAAACCCTAGTTTCGCGCCGCCGCCGTTCCTTTCCAAAATCCGGCCGTTCGTTTTCGTTTCCGGTGAAATTGATTGAGGGGAAACAATCTTTGGGATCTCTTCTACCTTTTCTCCTTTGGAAACATCGGCTAAATCGGTTTGGAATGTGTTTGATTCGAGTTCGAATCGGATCGGTCTCTTTCCTTCAAACCCCGATCTTTCCTTCTCGTCGCCAGCCGCCGTGGGCCTTCGCCGTCACCTCCTAGCCCCTTTAAAAGGACCCCCGAGCTCTTCTCTACCCGCCGCCACCTTCGCCTTCGCCTCTCGTCGTCCGTAGCGCCCTAGCGCCGTGTGCCCTAGCGCCGCCGTCGCTCCAGCCGTGCGCCGCCGCCGTTCCAGACGTCGCCGTCGCTCGGGAAGACCGCCGTCGTGGTCGCCGTCCCGTCGCCGTCCTCGTC